ATTGGAGTGTTTGGAACACAAGGACAAATGCAAGCTTGAGGTGACAGCTACCCCATTTATTATGCATTGAGTATTATGCATTGGATGCCTATACTAGAATATCTCATGTACCCCATACATAGGTACACCTACTATGTACTCACAAAAATAAAAAATAAGTGAAATAAATAAAAATTTTTAAATGTTTGGTAAATGAATACATTGATGCTGTACAATCCTCTACTTCTCAAATTGGGGCACTACTGGGAGTATATGGTAGTATGATAGGAACATAACAAACAAGATACATTATTTGGGGCATGAGTTTTATCTAATAAAGTAAAATCCATTACTTTTATATTGAAACAAAAATGGATACATAATGAAATGGATTGAAAAACTGTAATTTATATACCAAAGCACAAGCTATCAAAAATATTTTCCACTTACTTTGAGCTCTTCAGACTCAACCCCAGAACCTATAGGGTTCCACTTTCCCTCTTTTGTTGTCATGGATAATCAATAGAAAAAAACTCAGAAATATCACACCATGTTACATTTTTTATCCTGTTTTATAAACATAAAATAGCATATATTTTATGTGAATAATTATACTAACAGAACTTCATATACAGCATTTGTGAACAAAAAATGTTTTTTATTTGCATGATTCAAAATGTTATCTATTTCAGTAAAAGCAAAAAAATTCATAACCAACTAAGACCCTATATATCTGCATATGTACTTGTACTGTATATACATTATTACAAAGGGAAATGAATGGACAAATACAACCCACTGTTAACACTGGTTGCCTCATGGGATTGGGTAGTTTGGTAGAGGGTGGGGGTGAAACAACTGGCTTTGCCTTTACATCTTCATATTATATTTGTCACAACAAGCATGTATTACTAATAAATTTGGAGGAAAAAATTAAAAATTTGTATTTTAGTAAGCAAAAATGTAGTCTATGTTGATTTTGCTACAGTTATATGCAAATTCTAAAAATCAGACTTAATATTCCAATTCTACATACTGATATTTCATCACTGATTTTTTTCAAGAGAAAACCTCAGAAAGTGAAAGATTAGTGTAACTTTTCTTTTTTAAATTGTAAATTTTTCTGAGTATGCTTTTTCAAATTTAAAGAGGCTTAATGAACAATTATAAATTATGATTCTTAATTACAACTGAGCAACTCCTGTCATTTAAGCTTTTTGGTGTGAATTTCAAAAACAGCTATGCACTTTTGGGGAGAGGACTTAAAGAAGTGACTGGGGTTTATCTAGTTTCAAAGGCTAGAAGTGGGCAATTAAAAATAGTGATATCGCAGTTTAATTTCACAACTACTTAATAATGCAAGCTTTTATGTTGGCATAGTAGGCATGCGTAACAGCTGACAAGACAGCATTGTTTGCCTTTGACTTTACAGTGCAAAATAAGGGCTATCTTTTGTGTCAGAGGATATGCATTTTTAAGCAGATGTCACAGATATTAGAAATATAACAACAACAGTAATCCAGGCTCTGGAGGCAAAGTCAGGGTGGGAAATAGTCCATGCCCCTTTTTAAGTGAAGCTCACCCACGCTCATAGCATTTAAAAGAACACAGCACATCTTCATGAACATTAGCCAGGATTTAGAGCTCTTTGGGGCAAATGAATTTCTGGCCATACCAGGAACAATAATAGCAATTATACATTCTAAAATGGCCTAACTTCAGACACTTTATTTCATTGTCCTTATAAATCAGAGACCTCCATCTAATCTCTGGTCTTGAGGACCAACTGTGAACCTCTTGAGATTCTTGGCAAACAAGTAAAAAATTAACTGAAGCAGTGATTTAATAGTAAGGAAGAGGAGAAGTTTAAGCTCCCTTTATCACAGCATTCTGTTTTATTTTTATCAGAGCTTTTATCCTTATCTGGTATTATCTTAGTGATGGTCTGTCTTTCCCCACTAGAATAGAAGCTCTCTGATGTCAGGGATCTGATCTGTCTTATTCAGCCCAGTGGGCCTCTAAAAATCCTAGGCACACAGTAAGCACTCCTCAAGAGTGGCTGACAGACCTATCTAACAAGTACAAGGACAGAGGTAGGAGATGGTTGCTTTGAGAGGTCACATGAGCACACTCTTAGAGATCACTGTGGTGGTTTCATTTAACCACCCAACAAACATTTATGGAGAATCCTCTGTGAAGCAAACAAAAATATTTTATCCCCAAATATATGTCTTTGACATATTTTGAAATAGTTGTCACAGGACCAGCAAACAGAGGTGGTCTTGCAAAGCCGTGTTTTAAGGGGAAATTTTGCTTCTGTAGAGAATCTCCATCAATGCAGCCAGACCCCACCTTTCCAGTCATTTCCTGGATCTGGAAGAGATCGAGTCTGACACCTTTTTTTTGAGACGGAGTTTCACTCTTGTTACCCAGGCTGGAGTGCAATGGCGCGATCTCGGCTCACCACAACCTCCACCTCTTGGGTTCAGGCAATTCTCCTGCCTCAGCCTCCCGAGTAGCTGGGATTACAGGCACGCGCCACCATGCCCAGCTAACGTTTTGTAGTTTTAGTAGAGACGGGGTTTCACCATGTGGACCAGGATGGTCTCGATCTCTTGACCTCGTGATCCACCGGCCTCGGCTTCCCAAAGTGCTGGGATTACAGGCATGAGCCACAGCGCCCAGCCGAGTCTGATACCTTTAAATGACTGAAAAGAAACATTTGCCATCTATTCTCTCTGAGGGAGGCTGCATCCACACACAAGGCTGACTTTGCTAGTCAAGCCTCTTCTGTACTCCCTCTCATAACTGTCTTGTCAATGAACATGAATTATAAACATAACTTGGTTTTGGCCATGCCCTGAGTCCCCATTCTTTCTGTAACCTCAAGATGATATATCAGCTTCTGTAACTTTTTGGGATGATGGGTCTTCATACTGAAGGTTCCTGTGTATAAATGTTAAATAAATGTATAAAATGGCTTTTCTCCTATTAATCAATTGTCTCATGTTAGTGATTTTCAGCAAGCTTTCAGGAGGTCAAGAGCCTATGGCCCCCACCCTAGGCATAATATAGCAATGAACAAACTGATATAGATACTGCCTTCATTAAGCTTATAATCTAGTGGGAAGATAGACATTTAAAAAAATCATACAACTGGCTGGGCATGGTGGCTCATACCTGTAATCCCAGCACTTTGGGAGGCCAAGGTGGTTGGATCATGAGGTCAGGAGTTCAAAATCAGCCTGGCCAAGATGGTGAAACCCTGTCTCTACTAAAAATACAAAAATTAGCTGGGCGTGGTGGCAGGCACCTGTAATCCCAGCTACTTGGGAGGTTGAGGCAGAGAACTGCTTGAACACGGGAGGCGGAGGTTCCGGTGAACCAAGATCGCCCCACTGTACTCCAGACTAGAGAACAGAGCAAGACTTCATCTCAAAAAAAAAAAAAAATGTTATACAGCTCACTATATAATTACAATCTATGGCAAGTGTGATGAAGGAAAAATATAGGGTAATACAATCAGTTGTAAAAAGGGTACCATATAATAGCTGTACGACTCTTCAAATGTGCTAAAAAAAAAAAAAAAAAAAAACCACTGAACATTCCAAAAGGGTGAATTTTACGGTATGCAAATGATATCTCAATAAAGCTATTATAGAAAAAAGGTATCATAGTGAGACCAGGCACAGTGGCTCGCACCTATAATCCCAGCACTTTGGGAGGCCGAGGCAGGTGGATCACCTGAGGGCACAAGTTCAAGAACAGCCTGGCCAACATGGCAAAACCGTGTCTCTACTAAAAATACAAAAATTAGCTTGGTAAGGTGGTGGGAGCCTGTCATCTGAGCTACTCAGAAGGCTGAGGCAGGAGAATCACTTGAACCCAGGAGGGAGGTTGCAGTGAGTTGAGATCACTCCACTCCACTCCAGCTTGGGTGACAAGAGTAAAACTCTGTCTCAAAACCAATAATAATAATAATAATAATAATAATAATAATAATAACACCTCCTTCTAGGATTGTTCTTAAGTTCAAACAAGTTAGTATTTTCAAAGCACTGATAACACTTCCTGCTACCCAAAAGAGGTGGGTATTACTTTTGAGTCAGGGAGTGCTATGGACTGAATGCTTGTGCCCTCGCTACCAAAACCCATATGTTGAAATCCTAACCCAACGTAACAGTATTAGCAAGTGAGGTTTTTGGGAGATAATTAGCTCATGAAGGTAGAGTCGTCATGAATGAGATCAATACCCTTATAAAAAGACACACAAAAGCTTGCTGGGTGTTTTGTTTTGTTTTTTCCTCTCTCTCTCTCTGCCATGTGAAGAAACAAAGAAGGTTGTCTGCAAACCAGGAAGAAGGACCTCACCAGACACCACAACTGCCAGCACCTTGACCTTTGAATTCCAGCCTCCAGAGCTGTAAAAAATAGACTTCTATTGTTTAAGCCACCCAGTGTATGGCATTCTGTTACAGAAGCCTGAACTAAGACAGGGACAAAACAGATAGAAAATTGAGAGAACACTCAATGGGGGCAAAGTCAGAAACTTATTGAGCTCTATTCCTTGCCACCTGGCTCTATTAAAAAATGTGATGGCATTATGCCTTGATTTATTTTCTTCTGAAGAAAGCTCTTTTGTTGCAGAAATTGACTATGCCATGAATATATCTGAAACAACTATAAAATGAAATAAGAGAAACGGGCCTATACATTCAATATGTTTTCTCACTAAGAACACAAAGCAAATTTCCTACTTTACTCTTTCAAAAAGGTTTTAACAGCTTCATCGAAATATGATTAATATACCATAAAATTCACATTTTTAAAGTATATAATTAAATGGTGTTTACTATACACAGAGTTGTGCAGCAATCATCACCACTGTATGATTCTAGAACATGTTCATTGTCCCCTAAAGAAACTTCATATCCATTAGAAGCCACTTCTAGTCTCCACTCCTCCCAGCCCCTGGCAATCACTAATCTACTTCCTTTCTCTATGAATTTCTCTGTTCCTACCTTTGCTTTTGGAAAGATAGGCAGAGATGAACTGTGCTGTCTTTGGGGTTGCCAAAGTTTACTCTCAGATTCCACAGGGAAAATAAATGATTTCTGATCAATTACAGTTGGAAGTAACCTAAGTAAAAAGAAATAGGATTTAAAATCAAATTTGCTACCTTAAAAGCTTCTCAAATTGTAATTTTAAAACAATGCTTCCTAATTAAGCTTATATTTTATAGGAAATATTCTATTGGTAATTACAATAAATTAGACCAATCTTTATCATTTTTGCCACTGTAAAACTGCAGTTGTTTTATTAAGCACAAGAATTTCCAAGTCTGATAAAGACCATAATAGCATGAACAAAAAGCTCTATTTCTGGCTGAGTTTATATGATTAACAACTGACAGAATTATTGCACTATAAAACATTTCTAGTAAGAGAAAATATAAACTGTTGTATTTTGTTTAATAAAATCAAATTACGGGATAGCCAATGTTAAATATGTACAAAATGATGATCCCTAAGTGGCTAATACTTATATTCTTTAAATCTCTGCTATTTTATATAGATTTTAAAATGTAAACATCAAAAGTGTTTAAACATTTTCCTCATTAAGCAGTGGATAGTTCCATGGGAGGGCAATGTAAAAAAAAATTGTTAAGAATGAGTATTTGTGTGCCATGTTATGTCTTAAAATTTTTAATTTGAAAGCAAGTTCCAGATCACTAAAATGATCAACATAATTAGGACCAACAAAACTCACCCACCAATAACTCAATATCTCGATTCTATTGTCATAGCAACTTTTGCAAAATTATCATTAAAAAGCAACTTATGGAATTCCAGTTTAACTCCAACATGTAATAACCTTCGAAATCGTCATTCCTAGTGTCACAACAAGGAAAAAGCTGAATGAAACAAAAGTAACTCTTCTTATATCCATCAGAGAACTGAGATCACAGGGTAAACTGCTGCTTTGAAAACTGGAGAGAGTCTTATTATAAAGCATCACGGCTTGCAGGGAGCAGAAGCTTGAGAGCAGAAGTCAGCTGTCGGAACCTGCACTGTCAAGAAAGCTTAAGCTCTAACTGACATATTTCTTGAGGCTCAGTGTGGACTAGCTTGAGAGTTAAAAATTCTTGGGAGCAGAGAGAAGAATCTTAGAGGGTCCCACACTTTTGTAAGTTTTACCTCCAAGAGCCACAGTACGTTCTCACTGTGAAGATCAGAGAATCCACCCCTGCTTCCAGCAGGGGGAGAAGGAAATAGCCATTTTGGAATATTCCTAGAGAGTTCTGTTCTTCCTTCTGCTCCCAAGGAAAACCATCTTACCAAAGCCTTATCTGAAGTGGAGAAGGGCAATTAGACAACTCCAGCCCATTCTAGTCTTTCTATCTCACTTAAGGGGAGGAAATGCTGTGAAAAACTAGTCAAGGTAACAGCCCAGGTCAAAGACTCAACAAAAGACTGAATCCTCATTATAGGAGCATAGAATGCTTCCTCCCACCTGCATCTTACCACCACATTTACAGAGCCCCTGAATAACAGGAAATTACAGATGAAAGACTGCAGCGGGGAGGGGTCGCAAAAAAGAAAGAAAAAAAAAGAAGAAGAAAGACTGCAAAGTTCAGATTCTTTTTAAGAAGGGGCTTCTAGGGAAACCCAAAGACAAAAGGGAAGACAAAAGGTGTGATAAAGCAAAGATACTTGAGGAAACCCTCAGATACCAACAGTTAATAGCAAACAGTAAACACAGTGTAACTCCTAGTCAGATAAGCATAAACCTTCACACTGAAGGCCTATTTATCTTAAATGCTATTATCTAATGATGTAATTATGGAATCTAGACTTCAATAAAAAATTATGTGGCACATGCCTGTAATCCCAACACTTTGGGAGGCTGAGGTGGGTGCATCACGAGGACAAGAGACTGAGACCATCCTGGCCCACATGGTGAAACCTCGTTTCTACTAAAAATACAAAAATTAGCTGGGTGTGGTGGCACACACCTGTAGTCCCAGCTACTTAGGAGGCTGAGGCAGGAGAATCGCTTGAACTCAGGAGGCAGAGGTGGCAATGAGCCGAGATTGCGCCACACTGTACTCTAGCCCCTGGCAACAGAGCAAGACTCCATCTCAAAAAAAAAAAAAAAAGAATTATGAGGCATGCTAAAAGGTAAAAAAAAAAAAAAAAGTCTGAAGTACAAAGCAAATATCAGAACCAAATTCAGCTATGCTAGACATTTCAGAATTATCAGACCAGAAATTTAAAATAACTCTGATTAATAGGTTAATGGCACTAATTAAAAAAAGTGAACAACATGCAAGACAAAATGGGTAATGTAAGTGGAGAGATTTAAACTTTAAGAAAAAATCAAGAGAAAATGCTAGAAATAAAAAGCATTGTTTTAAGAAATGAAGAATGTCTTTGACAGGCTTATCAATACACTAAATATGGCCAATGAAGAAACATCAGTGACCTTGAAGAAATGTAAGTATAAACTCCTCAAAGTGAAATGCAAAGAGGGAAAAAGAATGAACAATACAGTGCAGAATATTCAAGAACTGTAGGACAATTATAAACAGTGTGACATACGCATAATTGGAATATCAGAAAAAGAAGGCACAAAGGAACCAAAGAAACATTTGATTTTGAGTAATAACGGCTGATAATTTTCCAAAATTAATGACAGACACCAAACTACAGATACAGGAATTTCATAGAACACTGACCAGAATAAACGCAAACAAAACAAAACAAAACAAAACAAAACAACAACAAAACCCTACACCTATACATATCATATTTAAAATATGAAAGACTAAAAACATAGAAAATCTTGCAAGAAGCCAGAGAGAAAAAAACACCTTACCTGTTGATAAGAATTATATTGCACTTTTTTCTCAGAAATTATGCAAGTAAGAAGAGAATGAATTGAAATATTTAACCTGTGGAAAGAAAAAATCCACTAATCTGCAAAAATTATCCTTCAAAAGTGAAGGGGAGAGAAAGATATCTTGAGACAAATAAATACTAAGAATTTGTTGTCAGAGATCTGTCTTGCAAGAACTGTTCAAAGAAATTCTTTGGAGGAAAGGAAAATTATATATGTTTAACATGGGATAAAGCAGGCAAAAAGAAGGCCGGGCGCGGTGGCTCAAGCCTGTAATCCCAGCACTTTGGGAGGCTGAGGCGGGTGGATCACGAGGTCGAGAGATTGAGACCATCCTGGTCAACATGGTGAAACCCCGTCTCTACTAAAAATAAAAAAAAATTAGCTGGGCATGGTGGCACGTGCCTGTAATCCCAGCTACTCAGGAGGCTGAGGCAGGAGAATTGCTTGAACCCAGGAGGCGGAGGTTGCGGTGAGCCGAGATCGCGCCATTGCACTCCAGCCTGGGTAACAAGAGTGAAACTCCGTCTCAAAAAAAAAAAAAAAAAAGCAGGCAAAAAGAAAACCCGGCAAATTCAACACCATGCTGTTCCTTGTATTGTAAGGCCCTTAGCTAGTCCGCCTTCTTCTCTCCATCTTTCAAGTCTTTTAAAGTTTGTTTTATTTATAATTTCCAAGATTTTTAGTTGTACGTAGCAGAAGGCATAGAAGACAGTATGTCACCATCTTCCCAGAAGTGAAAATATCTTGGTGCATTTCTTAAATCCTTTTACTTTCATGGATGATGAGTTTAGAAGTAAATGTAGATAGTGATAATCGAATTGAGATATAATTTTGTACCCTGCTTTTTTCTCCCTTAGCATATGTAGTGAGAAATTTTCCATATCATTAAAATTCCTTCAGTATCAGTTTTAATAGCTATATAACACACATATAGATGTCTTAAAATGAATTTAATAATTTTTTTACTGTTGATACTTAAGGTATATCCAAAGTTACTGCCATTAGATACAATGCTAAAATGTGTAAGTATTAGCCACTGTGACTCAATACTTACATGGACATTAATGTATATCTCTCCTTATTTCCTAAGATAATTCTTAGAGCTAATTACTAAATTAAAACATATTTATTTATTTGAAACAAGATCTTACTCTGTCATCCAGGATGGAGTGCAGTGGCACAATCGTGGCTCACTGAAGCCTCACTATCCTAGGCTCAGGCGATTCTTCTGCCTCAGCCTCCAGAGTAGCTGGGACTACAGGTATATGCCACCACACTCAGCTAATTTTTATTTTATTTTGAGACAGAGTCTTGCTCTGTCACCAGGCTGGAGTGCAGTGGTATGATCTCGTCTCACTGCAACCTCCACCTCCCAGGTTCAAGCAATTCTCTTGCCTCAGCCTCCCAAGTAGCTGGGACTACAGGCACATGCACCATGCCCAGCTAATTTTTTTTTTGTATTTTTAGTGGACACAGGGTTTCACTATGTTGGCCAGGATGGTCTCGAACTTCTGACCTCATGATCTGCCCACCTTGACCTCCCAAAGTACTGGGAATACAGGCATGAGCCACCGTGCCCAACCAAAATTTTTTTGTAGGGATGGAGTTTCACTTTGTCGCCCAGGTTGGCTTCAAACACCTGGACTCAAGCGAGCCTCGCACCTTAGCCTCCCAAAGTGCTGGGATTACAGGCATGAGTCACCACATCCTGCCAAACACAATAATTTAAATTTTTTTCATATATGTTGAAAAATTGCTTTTAAGAATTTCATGCTCTCTTCCAGTTCCAAAATGGCAGCACAGAAGCAAGCTAGCTTCATGCTCTCCCAACAGAAAACTAAAAACAAACATACATTGCCGAGATTATTACCAGCAATAGCCTAGAACCCAAAGAGGAGGATGAGACAGTGCCCAGGATCATAGAGAAGTAAAAAACCTCCAAGCAGATGGTAAGAAAATCAATTTCCATATCTGTGACTCCCCTTTCCACAATCTGCCTTGCACCAAGCATGTGAAAATATTTCACCCAACTCATAGTTTCTTCAATAGAAAAAGTGTGATCAAAGTTGACAACCAGCTTCCCTATCACCTTGGGCTCCTGACAAAATACCTGTCCCTACTCCAACCCATGGGAAGTATAAGAGTACTTGAAGGGACAAATACCCTGAGGAAAGCCAGAGACAAAGTGGGGAGGTGAGATAACCATCCCAACCCTAGAAATTCTGCTCTGTAACTAG